TATTTGTGAGAAATATGTAATCAAAACATACATATATATAAAAATATGAAAAGAAACACTAAAGACGAGCACAACCCACAATACATTTGGTGGTTAACTATTAGGCCTTAAACCCATATACTGTAACTCCAACACATCCACACTCCGTGGATCACAGATGTATAGAAACATGACAGAGATGTAAGTATGCTCTAGGCCCGGTCACTCAAGAGGCCAAAGAAATCTGGAAGAAGACTAGGAGAAGATGGAATCCCCGGCAACTGAGGGGAGCGCTAACAGTGCTAGAGGGAATCACTTGATAAGTAAGACTTCAATAATGTGCTAATATGCTAAGCACCCTAGCACATTATGGAAAAAGGTCCCTGGAGGCCCAACATTTTTTATTTACTTTGGCAGTTTAGTTCCTCTTCAAAGCAACATTACTGTAAAGTCAAAAGGCTCTTAAGCTATTTGAAATGCTGATCAAATCACTTGCAATGGATGATACTCCATGATGTGTATAAGTTTTAGTTTCCTGCAGAATCATCTGAAGCCCTGGCCCTAATATCCTGTTTTAGGGTGGTTCCTCTCCCTTACAGGGCCCCTATGGAACCACTCTTGTGTGTGCTAGTAATCTATGTGTGTCTCCACACACACACACACACACCGGCACAGGAGGGCAAGATATGCTCCTCCATCATTTTCTACCCTCTTTGCTTCCTACTTCCTCAAAGCTAGTAGATAGACAGCTGATGGAGACTGTTCTGTCCCTTGTGAGCTTGTTCTGGACAGGAAGTTCAGGGAACCTTAGCTGAAAGAGTTGGAGCCAGCTGTTCAGAAATACTTTGCTGGGTGTATATCAGTTTGATCTGGATTAATTATTGAAAAGAGTGAAAGCTTAATACTTCTTCAATCTACCCCGTTTCTGGAAGTTAATTTTGACATCGCTACATTACATAAAATAACAAAAAAAGGAAGAGAAAACTTGCAAGCGAGTCACATACAAAAAATAATTTAAAGCAAACAGTGCAATAATAACTCACAGTATGTGCTGAGTATACACTCTACTTTTCCCTTTAAGGGGAGTTAAGGACTAAGGTTACAGCATGATATGATTTCTAAACAGTGTAATAGAGGACATCGAATAGGCGTGAAATCAGATAAGACTTTGATGTAATGTTTGCAATTTCAGTGAAAGAAAAGGTTTCCTTTTACACAGAAACCATTACTGAAACAGAACATACTGAAATCTAATATGCAAATTGATATAAGCCTGCAGTGCAACTGTTTTATTCCAGAGCCCTGTAGTATCAGGATTACATGTGTTTTCACAAGTAATAATAGGGAATCTGTCAATGTACTTTCCAAAAAAATAAGTTTCTTGTTTTATTTTTTTAATTTGAAGGGGTGACGTTATAGGAGTGGGTGGACTTTTGTGAGATCTTTTGAAAGATTTCACCAAGACTGTGCCCTTATATAATAATTATAATAATAATAATATATGTTTTGGAGAAAACCCAGTAATTGATACATTTCTTCTACGTCATCTTCAATATTATGGGGAGTTAGTCAAGACCCTATCAGTATTTATACCTTTAGGAGTGTGTGTGTGGGGG